TCAAGTGGTCTTTCTTTTTCTTGTTAGATGACTACGAAATAAGATGACGATCATTATTCTTAGTTTTTGGTTAATTTATATTCATGTTAGAAGATTTATTTCGCCATGCCTAAAAAGGAGAGAAGGAAAACTAATCGTTCATCCTTCTCAAACCTTTGTTATACGAGTTATATAACTAATAATTGATATTTTTGTATTATTATATTAGGTTTTTAGTGAATAGATAAAGTTATCTATTATTGTAGGGCAATTCAAATTTGAGTTTCTAAATGAACCCTACACCAATTGAGTACACAATTTTTAGGTGCAAGTGGAAGCTAAATTTGACCCCAAAATAAAGGAGAAGCCATTTCAAACTTGAAGTTTATATGGTTAAAGGGCAATAGAAAGACCATATTTTTATGTAATAATTTAAAATACAACATGTAAAGGGTAAAGCTAAAAATAAAAAATAAAAATTCTGTGTGCTTTTTCTTTATTTATCCATTTTCTTATACTACTCTTATTATAATTATCCATATGTATGCTAACAGTGTAAATTTTTTTTATACTATATATGCATTTTAACGTATTAATGTGTTTTAGTACGTAACTTGCTAATTTTTTTTTGCTATTTATGAACAATTATTTATTTAAATTTATTTTTTTAAATAGATGACCTGATAATATAGATATATATCATAATCATTCCTACATAGGACAAGAAAAAAAGCATGTCTTAAGGTAGAACTATACTAATAATATAATAGAAAGCATAAATAAAGGAATTAAGCATCACATATATTTTTGGAAAGTAGAGATAAATATGTTTATGAACTATCAAATCATGAAAACAAGAAATTAACTAATTAATTTGAAAAAAATAATTCGAGACAACCTTAATGTACCTCAAAAAGGAAGAAGAGAAGCCAAATGAATTATGCACTAGATATATGCAATTACTCCTTTTAAGTTCTAAACTCCAATTTGTATCAATTTATATCCATGAAAAAGAATAAACATAGAATCAGATTCAATATAATCCCATCACACTATTAATTCTATGAATGGATAGTGGCCAAAAATATTCACATCATTATATTATTTAATCATAAGATAGTTACAACTTATAAATGTTAATTAGTAACGTGATAAAAATAATAATCCCATTAAATATACGTATAGTTTAAGTCCTCTTGAGGATCACTTCTTTTTTTGGGTTGGGGTGGTGCCCTCTTGAAAATAAATTATTCTAAACAAGATGAAGCTACATATATACAATATTAACAACTGGTTCATATGAACCCACTAACTTCTGGTTTTTATATATCCTATATTCATATTTAGAAAATTCATTAATTAAATATAAATATTTAATTACGAATATAGTAGTAGTTAATACAAGCTATAGATCCGATAATATTAACTAGCTAAGAAAATTCAGAACCTCATAAATTTTAACACTCCCAACTCTACCTTTAAGGAGTGAAACTAGTGTTTCAAAGCACAAATTTAACCGAACTCAATAACTTTCACTCGCCGTCTAACTTACTTATATTCTACATGAATATGAATATGTGCTCGTGTGTTACATATGACATATTGATACTTATATATATATTTAATAATAAACGAATAACATCAGCATCAGTACTATACTATAAAAATTAAATTCATAGAAGAATCTAGGGTTTCATCATCATATTCCATTAACACCCAAAAATAAAAATTGTTTCATAAAGAGGGAAAAATAAAAAGAATAATATCCCTATCAAACGTGGAACCAAATATCCTTTTGTCCTCACGAATAACACTAACATTATGTGAATCCGATTCAATTCCCATGTATGTTTCACCTTTTTTATAAATATTAGCTATACTTTGTTCATATAGAATTTTCCTTATTATTAGTAATCTAATGCTAAATAGTTAATTCCAGCCCTATGAGCCTGTTCACATTATCGATCTAAAATTTAAATTAAGGAGAAGAATTGTCGAAGGTCAATCAGAAGCTACGAACATCTTACAATTACAATGACATTGCTGTTGTTGTTTTTATTGATATTGATTACGTTGTTCTTATAACATGTCTGATTTGATGAGTCCAGAGCCTAAAGGGCAAAAAAAATGATCAAAAATTCCAAAAGGGCACATCACTTTTTATTTTAGCCAAAAGGGCAAAATCGCTGCGTTTTCCTCTGACAAAATGATAAAATCGCTGCCCTAGCAGCGATTTCGTCTAAAAAAAAATTTTATTTTTTTTTATTAAAAATCGCTGCCACAGCAGCGATTTTGTAGAGTCCGGAGCCTAAAGGGCAAAAAAAATGGTCAAAAATTCCAAAAGGGCACATCACTTTTTATTTTAGCCAAAAGGGCAAAATCGCTGCGTTTTCCTCTGACAAAATGATAAAATCGCTGCCCTAGCAGCGATTTCGTCTAAAAAAAAATTTTATTTTTTTTAATTAAAAACCGCTGCCACAGCAGCGATTTTGTAAAAAAATTTTTTTTTTTTTTAAAATTAAAAATCACTGCTTTTTTTTCTTTAAAAAAACTAAAACAACACATCAAAAAAAAAATTAACCAAAAGGGCTTCTGACAAAACAAAGAATATACATCTCATGTACACAAAACAATGCTTCACTACTGTGGATATACATCTCATGTACATAAAAGAATATTAAATTCAGAAAAAAACTTTTTTTTTAAAATTCTTAACCAAATTCGCTGCTATA